AAAACACACCGGCGTCCGTGGTGTAGCGGTTAGGCGCTTCGCAGTCGAAAACAGGCAACCCAAGTTCGAATCTCCAGTGGGTTGAAAATGTATATCGAGTTTCTCAGGGGTTGCCTGACATTCAGGGTCTGAAGCCCGCCTCCTAATAATATTAAGAGAGTCGATTGGGATAGAAACCCTTACATTAAAAAAATGATCAAAGATCTTGTCGTCTCGGATACGGACGAAATATTTCAGAATCCCTGCGTGGAAGTTTTACTTGAGGTTCTAAAAAAGAAAAGAGTAGGTCTTTTAAGCCGACGTCCTAGTAGAATTAATTTTGATCCGTACCCAAAAACTGAAGCCCTTCTAGTTTACATAAACATTAAGAGTACCTTCGAAACAGCACAGGGCTGCCTGTCAGGCAAGGGATGATTCTGAGCTCTCTTAATTCAGATAAAACAGCCATGTACATAAAATCAGGAACACCACGAGATAAAATTCTGACAGTCCATCATTTTCTGGCTCTAGGAGGGGTACGAGAAGAAGATCAGAAAAGGAGCATAGATTAAATGCCACATTTTAAACATTCAGATGAATATAATCTCAAGAAAAAGATGATTGACAGAACGCTTTTGTGAATATAACCAGATTGTATTTCCGTTGAGATCAATTACTTTAAAATGCATATGTGGTATCAGACAAGGAGAAAATTGATGGAAATAACCTTTGATTAAGTTGAGAAATGTGGAACTGAACAAGTACGGAAGTTGTCACTAAAAGAGGAATAGTAGTAGGTGGTAAAAAGGGAATTATAATAATTGATTGGAGCGCTTTTGGTTCTGTTGTATTATTATGACGACAATTGAAAATTCTGCGCAAATTAATTAAATTGGATTCCACAAGTACGAAACTATTATTTTATTTTATTGATTCTTACTATAACGCATATAAAAGTGAAACTTATTTTCTACAGTTATTGAATAAAGTTCAAAATGAACTGATCTGTTTGAATTCAATGTACTGAACTCGATTAAAGCAAGCTGAATAAGAGTTAGATTAAATTGCTATCTTTTTGAATCAAACAAACATTGAATTTGATAAGATTCTATTGGAATAACCAAGTTCCGTCTTAATTGAAATGTACAGATTTGAATAGGATAGGACCTGAAACGGCTTTTCTGGACTGCATAAAATTGAATCGAACGTAAGCCAGCTGAAGACAACTGTGTCTACTTGGTGTGTACCCCATTTATGGTGACATGAAACGTCATAGTAATTGACGTACGGGCGGAAGGGGGGAAGAGAAGAATATTATTATTATACTCTTATTAAGCTCTTTTCCACACGGAATGAATGCAAATGGTTGCGAATCTCTTGAAACCCAGTCAAAACAATGAAGATTGCAACAGGCAAAAGGAAATGCATGTACATCGGAAATATTAACTCACTGGGGGCGTGCATTCTAGTCATAGTCATTCGTTGTTTTGTTTGTTGCTTGCCTTTTTTAGGGGGAGGGGTGATATTAAAGCGTATATTTATTTATACAGATTTTTGAATTTTGTTTTTTTAATCAGAAAGTCAAAAGGCAGGCAACAACCTGGATAGCATAAAATATGCAAATTAATGGTTCTGAATTGTGTATGGTGGTTTGAAACATTCCGCAACACTGCTGTTGGTCTTCTGTTGGTCGGACACATGTGTCCGCTACATCCTTAAAGAGTGAAAGAACATAACGTGTGTAATCCAAACAAAATACGAGGCTACTGACCGGAACTACATTTCTGATCACAGTCTGCAACAATTTATTTAAATTAAAGAAAAGAACTGTAGCGGTGCCAGTGGTATAGTGGCCATGCTCTTTGCCATTGCTTACAGAAAAGTCTTGAGAGTTTAGTTCTTTCGCAGGGAAACATTTTTATTGCGTTTCTTTGTTTGTCGATTGTGTTGCTGTATTTCACTCAGCTCAGGTTGATGTTGAAATGTGGGGTTGGAGTCTATACGCTTTCTAAGTGGTCCTAATTGTGTCACAACGTGGTGGAATCAGGCACTCGTAAATTTTTGAACAAGTGGGTTTATTGGAACCATTTCAAAGCTTGTTCTTTTGTCCTGCTTTCGATGAAAAAATCCCCATCCATTTTGAATAGAAGTCGATGTATTTGTGATTGAAGGAGGTGGGGTCGCCTGGTTTCAGAGGAAAAATAAACGAGAAAATGGCCACCAACGTTTGGTGACTTCCAAAGTTTGAGAGTCCTTGTAAACTGAAGATATACAATTTTTGTGCCTCTGATCAACCTTTTTCAGTTCTGTAAATATCCACACAGAAATGTGATTTTAGATGGACATAAAAGGTACTGAGCAAAAAGACAAAACAATTGATAAAAATTGCCAAACCAACGAGGAAATGCCGATTTCTTCGATTTCATGATTTTAACGAGCGCCTGATCTCATCACGAAACCTCACAACTGTATCGATTAGGGCCAATTACTTGAAATTACAATTCAACCCCTTAGACAAAAACGTAAGCATTTTACTGCTTTTGTAGAAACGTTAGGTCATATAAGTGACGAAGATTTGAGGTGTTACGAGAGAGTAACAAACACAAAAAGGAGTAGTGTTAAGAATCAAGGTATTCAATTAGAAAGAAGGAGCAGATCACACCAGAGCACACACCAATCACGAACACTAACGCACAATGATATGAGCAAAAAGCAAGAAATGAGTTCATAATACACACTCGGCAACATAATATTGTATTTACACCAAAAAAAATTGAAGACTGCAGGGGAAAACTTGGTGATTTGCAAACCAAAGGCTAGTCATAGAACCTGTCTAAAAAAAACACAAAATTAATTTATTTAAGAGAGAATTACAAAAACTTTTAAAACTCTGCACAAGAAAGAAACAAAGTCTATGAGCCCAAGTATTCAGCTACTAGGAACATTTGATACCATCAGTGTGTCCCCGTTTGTCTTCAATTGCAACAATGGCACAAAAAACGACTATAAAAAGGCATGCAGTAGTTAGATTCTTTCACAAAGAATTGCTACAGAATACAAATCTCTCCTTGAAAAGCATTCTTTATTTAGCTTTACATAAAAAAAAGTTGCAGCATTAGAAAATTGTGTCTGTTAAAAAGGCGTACTTACTTAAAGAAGTTGGCAATGATGATAAGAAGGAGTGCTATTTTGGCAAACAGGCCAGCACTTTTCACGCTGTCAACAAGACCCATTGTGCTAGTGAGAACTGTCGTTTGTCAGACTCTGAGGATGGAGATATATCAAATAATAATATAACAAAAGGTATCCATCTACCTGTCTGTTTATCATAATTCTACTGTATAATGCGAGACATGTTTTCACAAACATAGAGTACGCAAAACGTTAGGACATGTCTTGTTTGCGTAGGCTACACTTTAAAAAGTTCGTTCAAATACTTCGTTTCTGAAATGAAAGGACATAGCGCCTGCCTCATGTACATGAATTTTGGCTGCGCCTGGGAACAGCGACTATAACTGACGTCATTTTACAGGGGAACAGCGACTAGTATTTTACTATATTGTTTTGTTACAGTGTATCTAGGTACTAACTAAATGTAATCGCTTACAATATCGAATACAGCTAGTCGAGAAATGTCACATAATATCGTCTCGATTTTCAAGTTAAAAAAGGGCTTGATTTGACCAATAGACTGGCTCAAAGAGTCTACATAACAAGAGGGGCCACTTCTCTCTTTGAGCCAATTAAAAAAGTGTCCTCAAAATTCGGTGGCGCCCTCTTC